ATTCCAAACATTTGATGGACATTTGAAAAATATAGTAAAAAATAAAAATGCTTAAGTGTGTAGTAAATTATCTAGTATACAAAAGTCACAGATTCAGGGCTTAGATGTCCCTAAAGTGTCAGTAGGTCACCTTCAAAGAGTTTCAGGTTAAAAGGGCTCCTGTATCAGGCAGCTGAACCAAGAAACTCCAGTAAAGTGAGCAGGAGAGACTGTAAAAGACTTCTGTCTTTCAGAAGACACACCATGATCAATGTACTGCTTTCTGAGAGTGATGAATGTCAAATAGGCCTAGCCCTTGAGAGGGAATGGAGGAAAGAGGTAACTGGAGGTAAGGCCAGCTGAAGAGGAAAGGGGAATAAGGGAGGGAAGAGAGGGTGGGGCAGAGAAGAGCAGTAAAGAGGAGAGGAGAGTAAGGAAGGAGGGGAGAAAAGGAAGCAAAGAAGGAAGAAAGAGGGAAAGGAAGGAGTGAGGGACAGAGGGAGAGAATAAAGCTACTAGGACATTTAGAAAGTCATAGCATTCCTGTGAGAATAATATTGGACAGCAGACCCATCCAACAGAGCACTCTTGGAAGCACTTTTGGAAGGTGAGTTCTATTTCCTGGGCAGGGGGAGAGCCTAATCTGCCATGACAGCGCTGGTAGATTCCCAAGAGCTATCCAAGGGCATTGGATGAATTTTAAGACATGCTCTTCAGAAGATTCAAGTCTATTATGAGAGAAAGTTAAAAATTTATTTTGGCTTTGACATAATGAGGTCAAAGTATTTGGTATGGGATATACCCAGAAAATACTAGCCAGTTCAGAAATTCAGCATTATAGAAAGTTGAGTGAAAATTTCTTCTAAAGAGAAGGAGGATCACTCTCCTACACTGAATCAGGTTAGTCTTTTTCCTCTGGTATCAGGCTAAATGAAATTAATAACCAATTAAATTTTCCAGAGAGCATTAGGGGTCCTTCTCTGGCAGAGATCTTATATAAGGTATTTAGTAATATGAGGAAATTTTTGAGAAAAATAATATGCTTGTCTCCTGAAGTTTTTCACAGGAAAGAAAAAAGAACATGTTTTTAGGAATGAGTGTGAATTGAATAGTTGTGAACATGGACACGAGAGAAAATGTGTGTTGTACGGTGCTGGTGTTATACGTGAGTGGTGTGGGTTGTGTGTGGTAAAGTATAACTATGCATGTCTCTGTGATGTATGTGATGCATTGTGTCTGGTGTGTGTATGTAAGTGTTGTGTGTGTGGTTGTATGATTTGCACCATATTGTGTAGGTATTATTGTGATGTTTGTATGTTTGCCTTGTGTGGGGGGGGGTATGTGCCAAATATGTGCTACGTGTTTAATGCTGTGTGGTTGTGTATGTGTGGTTTGCATTTGTGCGATATGTATGGTGTGTGGCATGTGATGTGTATGTGTGTGTGTGTGTGTGTGTGTATTGAAATAAACAGCAGTCCCAAAAGAAGTTCCAGTGTATGATAATGGTGGCTGACACACTGCTCATTTAAAAATACTTTGCAAACTCAATTGCAGGATTCAGGTGTCTTTCAGGAAAGTGGTGTCATATAAACAGAGGCCAGATCTTGAGGTCTAGACTGATCAGTGCATGTGGGTGCTAGAAACTAATTGTAAGGGGCTCCCTGATATGAAGTGACTCTATTCTGATTCCTCCTCCTTGAGGACCTTCCTGCCAGAAGACACATAAGATCTAGACTTGAGGGCATTAGCAACTTTTTCTAGGGAAGCGAGGCTCCACACAGGTCCCCTTGGGCCTGTGGAGAATGATTTACCCATCTTCAAGAAGGAAAAGTAATCCTGCAGCTCTAGTAAGACACAAAGAGAATTTGTTTTACCTTTATTTATTCCTTTTCCAACATTCTTCCCTTCTTTTTGAACATGCAAATTTGCCACCAATAGCAGTCTCCTCCCACCTGAAGGGAGGGCAAAATCTGTTGGCAGCACATTCCCTCTGTTTTTGATTGTGTAATAAAGTTGTCAGTTGTCTTTCCTTTTTGCAGAGTATTTTTACTTGACGTAGAATTCTATTGACAAGGCTTTTGTTTGCTGAATGTAGTTTTCAGGTTTTCTGAATATTTTTAATCAACAACAACAACAAAAACTCATAAAAAAGGAAGCCCATGATGAAGAAGAAAAGGCCCAGAGATGCTGGAGCAGAGTGCCCTGAGTAGAATGCAGAACTAAGGGGACACTGGTCAGTTGCTTCCCTGGGTTGTGTTGATGTCAGTGTGTTTTTTACCCACAGTGGATGGAGAACAAGCCCTTCAGTAAGAAGAGAAGCTGTCCACAAATGGAGAACCAGTTCTTTCCTAGGAAAGGTAGTATTCTATTCTCCCTACCATTTACAGGTTTTCTCCTTCATAAATATAACACCACAGCTCCTAGTAAAAAAGTTCCGCAGAAACCCATTGAGAGTCTAAGAAATGTTCAGGAAAGTAGTAAAAGAAAATATCAGAAAATCTCTGGATAAAAAAATTCTATGCACCCTGGTTGTTCGAAACTTCATGTTACTATTTCTACTCTTCTACACTTGTATATTTTATTGCATAGTGAAAAATATCAGAAAGGGGTACACCAGTTTTGTTCCATCCGCAAGGAGAAGGAAATAGACCTGTGAAAGGAACTAAGGCAAGATTGATGTTCTTGAGTCTCCATCCTCAGATATCAGTGGTTGATGTTTAGTCAATATATTCTGAGAGAACCTAAGCAGTGTAGAGTCAGGACAATAAAGATTTACTACTATTTGGCTAAGAATTTTGTCTATATCATGCTGCAAAAAAATCCAGGAAGAGAAGATGGACATTGAATTATATAATTCCCTTGTTAACATAAAGGGTAGTGGTCTATTCAATTTTATATTTATTCATGCACCATTTTTGGTATTTAATTATTTTGATATTTCAAATTTCTATTTCATCTGTTCAAATTTTGATATATATATATTTAAAATATATTGTTATGTATATCACTGACACCCTCCTTATGCTTAGCATTTTCTTCCTTTTAGAGTTTTGGTTTTGTTTGTTTGTTCAGATTCCAAGTGTTTGAGTTCCCAGTTCTCTGACAAATGTGTTTAGAGCTGCATGTTGTGTTCAGGAGTTCATGAGTTTGAGATGCAGTATTCTTACTATTATTCAGTCCAATCACTTCAGAGTCCCCTCGTGGTCTCCTTTTTGACTCAAGATTTATTTAGACTTTAATTGATGGTCTTCCTGGAGGAACAGGGGAGAGAAATGAGCAAAACTTTAAAGGGCAATCCTGGCTGACCAGAAGGACAAGCCCTTCTCCATTTTTTTTTATTCATTAAGTTTACTGGTACATTTTAGGTACACAATATGATGACATTCACCTTTGGGAATTTGTTCATATTTTTTCCCCATCCCTCTGTCCTCCCTTCTACCCCTCCACCCTCCCTGTTTACAAAGACTTTGTTTCCGTTTTTTCCCTTACTCATATTTTTTCCTTTCCCCTACCCATCCCCCACTATCCCTTCCCCTTCCCCTTTGGACCTTTTCTTCCTATTTCACATTATCTATTATACATTTTGGTCCTCATTTACACTTTCAGTTTCTCAGACCAGAGAAACTATTCAGTATTTATACACATGTGTCCTATTTATTTCACTTAAGAGTAAGGCCTCAAGGTGCATCCATTTAGCTATAAATGTCTCTAGTTTCTCATTCTTTACGGTTGAGTAGTACTCCATTTTATTAAAAAAAATTTAGTGAGGGCTCATGTCACCAAAGCTTCCCAAGTCTGCTCACTCTCCTTTTGTACATATGTATGTCTGTGACTTGAGATGATTTTTTTTTTCAGATGACACAGAAACAGTGAGTTCAGGCTGAAAATCCAAGACAGGCCCAGCTGATGATTAACTTTCTCCAAGGCATCTAGGCCCTGAATATGCCCAATCTTGTCTAAATGTCTCAGAGGTATTTCCCATTCTGCTTAGCTCCAAGGACTACTCAAGGTAAACGGCCTTGACAGTTTGCTGACAAGGCTGGGCAGCAGTGTGCTCCTCCCTTATTGACCCGTAAGTCTTTAGTATCTCAGTATTTGGGAAGAGGGCTTCCTTTCAAGCTCTCTCATTATTAGGGCCCTGGTGTTTGGCTGCTGTTGTCCTCTAGGAGGCCAAAATTCTGAGATCAAATGTCTCAGAGCAAACTCTGCCTTCAGTGTTTATGTTTTGAAGACCTTGTCTTCATTAAGCTCTCCACCTAAATATTTCATCTTTCCTGCCAGATGATGCTTTTAATGAAATGGGTTAAGTATATTTTACCTAATATTCCTGTCTGTTTGCAATTGTAGTCCAGGAAAATAGCCAACTAATTTATTTGATACTAATGCAGTTTTTCATCTTCCTGCATAACTAAAGAGTATTCCACTTGTTTTTTCATTACTGGGAATCAAATACAGGGCCTTCACACTGAGCTACACCCCCAGTTCTTTCTATTTTGAGTCAGAGTCTTGCTAAATTGCCCAAGTAGGACTCAAACTTGTAATCCTCTTCCTTAGCTTCCAATTCTGGGGTTACAAGCATGCATTACCACCCCGCCTAGTGTATAGGCATGTATCATAATTTATTTAAGTAATCACCACTTACAGACTTCTAATTTTTAAAAAAGCTTTTACTACTTCAAAGAACTCTACAAGAATTGTACAACATAAAATTCAATTTAATAGGATTATAAAAAAATATTTCTATA